AAAAAAATTCAACTCTTAAGGTTAAATCAGTTTAAAAAATGTTTGAATTTATAAAAAAACAATTCTGCTTTTTATTATTGATTTTTACTTCACACAATAATTATAAAACTTCTTCGACATTCGAATTTGACTTCTTTGCATTCAAAATATTAATAATTGGATTTTTTAATATACCATAATTGTTCAAAAATTAAAATTTTTATCTCCAAACTAAACCATAGACCTTATAATACATATGTATAAGGTCTATGAACTGAACACATTAGTGCCTAATATTTTAATCGAAAAGATGTATAAAAATAGGACCAGTTTCGACATCTCACAAGTCTGTTCACAATTTGTACTTTAAAATTAAATTAAATTAAAATAATTCAGGGCTGCAATTGTTTTTTGCAGAAAAATATCGTAATAATATTGACAGAAACAGTGGTTAACCACTGGGTTTTTCTAATTCTAATAATACTAGGTTCATGTATTATCATCATGACAATAGGCCATAAAAATATCCGGAGAATTTGAAATACAAGGAATGTAAATACAAACTAATGAAACGAAAAAAATTTTATGAAGTTCATTGTTACATCTAATTGTTATAAAAGTAACAAATCGAAGTTATAGGACTCAAAGTGAAACTGCATAAATGTGTCAATATGTATGGACAACAGAATATTTAATAAACCCATTATTGTTCATTGTAAAGAGTCGTCTCTGACTTCATATCGACATCTTTGTTCCAAAACCGTTTAATGCAGGTGATCAGTGGTAAAAACACTTACTGTATTCTTTCATTAACATCCATATATTAATATAGTGAAGAATTTTAATGTTATCATTTCTTTGAACGAAATAAATAAAATCTGAAATCGCCTACGCGTTTTGTTAGATGCATTATTCAGATAATGATCAGCCATGCGTAATATAACAACATGCCTTATATCGGCAATTATTATGTTATGGATTTTTTGGACGTTGAATAATGCGAATTATAAATAACGATTTCATTCGCGGTTATTGCTAATAGTCGAATGCACAATGGAATGCAATTTCGCACGCTCTAATCGACATAGCTATTCATTAAACTTTTAACTGTGCGTGTTATTTTAAATTTGTATATACAACGATTTCATTACGATGAAGTCATTCATTAAACCAAATATATAATCCAATAATTGAACTTCACGTGGGTGAAAAACTGTGGAATGCGTTTGTTAACAACTAGAAGAATGAAATTATAGTATTCCTTATCTTTGTTTTTGATTCTTTCAGTAATATGTTTAATTTAATTTAAACGATGTTTATTTATGTTTCTTTGGCCACATGATGATTAATGATTTTTAAAATTCTACGCTGAATTGCGATTCAATTCATTTATGAATTCTTTCAGTCACACATGTGATAGTTTGTCAGCAGGTATACCAAACGCGAGGTGGGTTCGATGAGAACAAGTTTGGTTTGAAATTCCCTACGGATGAGCAAACATTCCTTTCAATGACAAGTAGAGTAGATGCATTTTTGAGATACGAACCTGCAGGTTTAGGTACGTTCCTTTTGACTTGCATCCACCTGTATGTGGTCACAGAGTGAGAATTGTGTGGTGTCCCCGACGCAACTGTTTGAGGTTGTTCATGAGGTTGTTGTCCGTGAGGTTGTGCCAATTTTTGTTGGCATTCTTGTTTTGCGTATACTTGCTGATGCGATATGTGGTGTTGCTGATGAGGCGTGTGGTGCAAATGTGGTTGCTGTTGTTGTTGTTGTTGTGTTGATGATGCTGGTTGAAGTCGATTGCCTGAAAAGCCACTTCTGTTTCATGCGGATATCCTTTAGAGTCGTCTATGGGGCTTCTCATGTAAGCAGGGGATTGATCATACCCGGGTGCGGGTAAAGAGCACCGTTCGGTCCGTTGTTAATACCCGTGCCTCCGTTGTTATAATCAAGGTTCGTATAACTCAGACCGTTATCTGTGCTGATGATGGGATCCGTCGGTGATTCGAGGTGCAAGCCGAGTTGACCCAAAGAACCTTGGCTGTAAAAATGCGTGTCAGGAGGCGGCGAGGTTCCCGATCCATCGTATAATATTTGCGTACCATAACCATCATGATGATGGTGGTACGTTTCGTGATATCCTACTGATTGATGATAACTAGGAGCTGTTTGCCCGTATCCAGTTCCGGCATCGTTGGTGTTATAATAGGGATGATAAACCGAATCCGTTGTCGTGTGATGATACGAACTGGCGTGCGGTTGGTCGTGCTGCCCGTACATGCTAATGTCCATAGTCATCATGTTTAGTTGCACTTACTTTTATTTGCTGTCACTGAACCGCGTTGGGGTCACATCACATGAAATTAAGGTCCTATTTGTCACCACGCGCCTTTTTCTTGGATTGAGAAAAATATGACACAATTTTAAAAACACTAAACCATTTAAAGCACTCGCGGGGGTATGGTCACAATAATCGAAAACCTGTGGAGAGTAACCGTGCGCGCGCTTCCGTACGCTCGCGATATACGTTGTCCACTGACGTGAGTAGAGTTACTGATCGAACACGTTTAGTTCTCACGGCCGATGACGCGTCGAACCGCGTGCGTCTCTACGATATGTTCGCCGTTTACTGCGCGGACGAAATAGAGTTTCCCCGCGGAGTCTACTTGGGTTTTGTTGTAGCGATCTCGCTCGCCTGCGTCGTCTCTGGTAACGCGCGTAACGGAGTGGGCACACTAAAAAGTAAGAGCCTGAATGAATCGACCGGCGCTGCTACAGAGAGCGAACACATGACAAAAGAACGAACGAGACGGAAGCCCTCGCGGCGGCTGCTCGCCTGCTCGCCTGCATGTGTCGGGCCTCTACGATATCATTCACGTGTCCCGTTCGGGACCGCGAGGGCGGCGCTTTGCCAATCACGTGGCCAATGGAAGCGAGACGCAGGAGCACCCATAATGGATTGGGTAGAGACATCATTGTGTTGCCTGAGAGGAGAACTATCTCATTTTTTCCGACCATCGGCTTTTTCGAAACATTTCAATCCAGCCGAGGGATTAGGGTGTTATTTTTTCCAGCCCCTCGTACGCAACTACGCGTTAGATCAAAATGGTTTCGCTCACATATCTGCACATGGTTGCTCGTTATATTGTTCGTGGACTGTCATTTTTTGATATAATCATACTTTTGTTCTCTATCCCAAAACGTGATTTCAGTACAGACTGTTTTCTCTATATATAATATTTTTCAATAAATTAACGTGTTAACTTCATAATTTTTGTGATCAGCTATCTTACTTTGCATACAAAAATGTTAAAACTTGGAATATAAATACTAGGAGAAGTACGTCTAAAATGACACGGGTTTTGTTTTTTAATTATATTATAAACAGTCTCAATTATTTTTATTTATTTTTTAGTTTAATGAATACTAGTAAAAGTATTATAATTAAGTAGGGACAGCATTAACATATTTAAAGAAAAAAGTGCAACCTACAAAAATTATTATATCCCTATAGTACGGACAAAATGACATGTAGTGCAAAGACATACTGAGATGCTAATTTTTAAGAAATAAGTTCAAAAATAAATAGTTTTGTTTTCTTTGGGACATTAGCACATGAAGGTTTTGCAACAAATGCGAAAGTTTCTTCTTTTTACCGATGGATCTTTTGGTCTATCTTTAGCAATGATTTTTTTTAAATACTTGAAGAAGAAATTGAAAGCCAATTACCTTTGACAGATTTTTTTTCTTGGCCCTGGTGTTGCATTATATAAGTATTTCATTTTATCTGAAATTATTGCAATAAAATTAATTGAAATCACTAGAGCTGTCAAATGTTAATATTCTTAATTGAAATAATTACGAATATCAAGAAATAGGTTCCCAAAAACATGAGAAAAACACTCTCAAAATAAACTTTTCAAGGCGTGAAACACGTTTGAACTGATTACTGCGATAAGACTGTGACAATGACGCTCAACATCTGACAGAATTGCTATATGCTTTTTTCATGATAAAGTCTCGGAAACGTTAACAAAACTAGTCAATTTTTAAATAAAGTCACTGTGTCATTTTGTCCATATACACTATTTTGTCCACATTTTCTCTATATATTATTGACAAAATTTATATACTTCTTGTTAAAATATCGACCAGTTTTTGAGAATCGCGGTTGTTTCAAAATATGTTATAAATAATGATTCACATATATAAAGCTGTTGCTAACAATTTAATATTAATTGAAACCACGTTGAGTAAATAAAATATTCTTTGTCTATATATAGATATCTATGTTTCTCCCTTGAGTGTGATGCCTAGGCTCTTGTATAAGAAATCGTAATTGAATTACGTAAATTCCACGCCATGCACAGCAATTCCATTTTCGGCACGTCAGACCCGAGAGCTCGACTCGACGCTGTCGTGTGCGTGCACACTGTCATGGGGCGAATTTCTGCGCCCCCCACTCGAGGGCTGAAACGCCGTAGGTTAAGGCTCGAAGCACACGGCCTGCAAGCTGTCAAAACGTTATTACACCATTTATTTACTTATTTTAATCAAAATTTATTCTTTAATAATTTGAGATTTTTTACTGCAGTCAGAAGTGCATTGGCTCTTTATTATTATTCCCGTAGAGTTAGTTAAGTTATTGTAATCGTTCAAAAATCGAAATTGAAAATTTTTATATTTCTTCAAGTTTTGAAGGTTTCTGAACATTTTGGCATACTTCAGAAAAAAATAGATGTGTGTGTGTATGAATGTATGGATACAATTTTTCATCTACGTTTTCGGGCGCACGGATTAACCTATTTGAATGATTCAAAAAAACTTTCGATTCCTATTGTGAGGGAGATGTGCTGATTAGTTTTTGGCAAAGGCAGGTCCAGCCGTTTCGGAGATACAGAGCTAAATGTGCAAAAAATGGCAGTTATTGAGAGAACTAAGCTTCCGATTTGAATGATTTAAAGAACTGTCTGCTTGTTTTAACAAAATATTTGCTTTTGGAAAAATAATATTTTTGTTTCAATTTTTTTTGTTTCAAATTTTTTTGTTTATATAGAAAATAATTCAGATTTTTATTGTAATTCTGACTTAAGTTCTAATATACTTTAAACAAATATTTTCAATTTTGAAATTCAGTTTATATAATTCCTATAAATATTACGCAATGTTACAGTATTTATTTATAATAATCTATTTGATATTCATTTAAACATTTAATATTCTTCGAACATTTCGTTACGGTACGGGAAGTTCCAGCATACACCACTAGTTATTTGATTGTATCTGTAAAATATAGAAAAGCTTAAAAATTATTACTAGTGTTTTTAAAAATTAGTACTAGTGGTAATGTATATTTATATAAATTGACGAACTAAATATTAATCATTGATATAGAAATCTGTCAAATAGTACTGTAACAACATTTATAACTCAAAGTTTGACAAAGCTTTTCGGATAACTTGCCTAAATTATATTTTATAAATTTTAACATTTCTAAAAATTATCGTAGAAGTAATATGAATTAATTACAGCAGAAAATGTATTTTTACTAGTACCAAAGATCAATTATCGAATTCTGAATTTTTATTGTTTTCATGACATGATCTATTATGAAACTAAAGCGAGTATCTACAATAAATTTTATAATATTAATTCTGTAATTGTAAAGTTTATTAACTTAACTGGAGTAAGTTATAGTAAACGCAAAAAAATCAAAAATAAAAATTATTATATATCTTCAACTTTCTAAGGTTCCTGAACAATTAGTTAAACACAACAAGGTGTGTGAATACTAATTTTTGCCGACGAATTCGGATTAACCTATTTGAATAATTCGAAAAACATTCGAATCGTTTTCATGGGGAGACGTGCTCTTATTAGCTTCGGAGATACGGACCAAAAAGTGACAAAAATGCTTATTTAGTTTTTGGGATAAAGGCGGAGCGTCCGATTTGAATGGTTCAAATAACATTTTCATTTGTATTAACGAAATGAAAAATGGAGTGAATTTTTGGGAAGGCAGTTTTAGCGGTTTCGGAGATCCATTGAAAAACTAAAAAAAAAAGTCAATTGGCGGATGAAAACGATCATTAGACATATGCACATCAAATTATAAGATATTTTATAGAGATTTTAATAATAAATACAAACTTTGTTTACATTTCTGTACATTTCCGTACCATTGTTTATCCGTTAGACTGTGACGATGCTATGCTTCCTAGTTTTATATATCCAGCGCTATTTGCAAGTTTTCTTGCTAGCAATCATGTATGTATTTTTATTATAATGGGGTGTGTATACCATGCCTTAAGTGAATCGAGCCTAAGAGAGACTTGGCCGTCTGATCCGATCGGATCCGATCCGATCCGGATCTACGGGTCCTAATAGAGGAATTAATTGGACGGCACGGACGATCCATCATCGTATCACCGCATAAAGCGGCGAGAGGGATCCCGTCTACCTACAACGCTTGCCCTCGCGCGCATCAAACTTCCAGAAATAACACTGAAAACTGTGACATGCCGGAGGACGGAGGACGGTTGGTTGGCTGATACGCGACTGCCCCAACGCCGAGTTTTATTTCACAGAGAAAATGGAAACAAAGAGTGTAGAAACGCGACTGTTTTAATACTGGGATGCTGCATACATCCACAAATAAAACGATGAAGAAAAATGCAATCCATGTATTCAGTCAAAAAGGCAAAATTTGAAAGAAACATTTGAAAAATGTGAAATTTTAACAATTATATTAATTTATCTTTAACCTTGATTTCACTCTAATGATTGTTGAACTAATTCGAGATTCCGAACATGGAAACGAAAAAAAGAATTCAGAAACGCGCTTGTTCTATTGCTGTTGTACTGAAACCCATCCATAAAAGAAATAATTAAGAAGAGTGTAGTCCATGTGTTCTAACAAAAATGCAATTTTTTAACTTCCCGTAGGGTAAGTTATTGTAATAGTCCAAAAATCGAAATTGAAAATTTTTACATTCACGTTTTGAAGGTTTCTGAACATTTTGGCATACCTCAGAAAAAGTGGATGTGTGTGTATGTATGTATGGATACAATTTTTCGTCCACGTTTTCGGGCGCACGGATCAACCGATTTGAATGGTTCAAAAAACATTCGAGTCCTATTGATAGGGAGATGTGCTGATTTGTTTTTGGCAAAGGCAGGTCCAGCCGTTACGGAGATACGGAGTAAACAGTGCAGAAAATAGAAATCGAGTTTTTGAGAGATCGGAGCATCAGATTTGAATGATCCAAAAAACTTTCAATTCGCAATGACGGGTAGAAGTGGTGATCAGTTTTTGGCAAAGACAGGTCCAGCGGTTTTGGAAATACAGAGCTAAATGTGCAAAAAATGGCAGTTTTTGAGGGAACTAAGCGTCCAATTTAAAGAACTTTCTGCTTGTTTCAACAAAATAATTGCTTTTGAAAAAAAAAATTTTGTTTCATTTTTTTTCAATTTTTTTGAAAGAAATATATTTTTTTTGTATATTGAAAATAATTAAGATTTCAATTGTAATTTTGACTTAAGTTTTAATATACTTTAAACAAATATTTTCGACTTTGCAATTCAGTTTATATAATTCTTATAAATATTAGACAATGTTACAGTATTTATTTGTAATAATCTATTTGAAAACATTTAATATTCCTTGAACATTTCGTTACGGTACGGAAAGTTCCAGCAATTTGCCTTAAGGATTAAGATAATTTCCAGTAAAATTATCTTAGTATCTGATCAGGCGTTACCTAGTAGTCAGGAATTTTAATAACAAACACTGGCTTAATAACAAATATTATAATAATATTGTCATCTAGAAGTTTTATTTAAACATCTAGAATTAAAATTATTTGCATGACCAAAGTATTTTGATATTCATGGGAAACGATTAATCTAAAAATAAATTTGTTATACAAAAACCTTTGTATTAGTAATAATTTTATAAACATTAAATTTTACATTTATTAAACTATAAATATTATTGAATTTGATGCGGTTAATTAATTAAGAGCTGCGCGATAAGAATTTCGCGGAACAATTGAAGCAAA